GGCCATTCTGGGCAGGGCCCCAGCATGCAGGGAGTTAACACCTGACTGCTGCCAGCCCCCTGGAGCAGCTGGGAGGAAGCCAAGCCCCCAAGACCAGCCCCAGAGCTCTGGCTAGAGAGAAGCTTTTCCAGTGTCTGGCTCCATGGGCAGCCTGGAAGCAGAACAGGAAAGGACACCGTGGCCAAAACCATCAGTCTCACTCCCTTTCTCCACGAAGTCTCTACCCACTCCCTCCTACTGCATGGGGGGAGAGGGGCTCTCTACAGCCCTGCGCCCCAAGCCCTGTCACCATCTAGAGCCCCCAAGGATGGAGCCACAGCACTCCCACCTCCTGTCCTCCAGTTCTGGCCACTGGCCTTGAAGCTGGCCTCAGCCTGGGAGCCAAGTGCCTGCCAGGGAAGGCTAGGCTCCGGCTGCCCGAGCAGCTGCTTTCCAGAGGCCTGAGCCAGCCGGGAGGGGCGCGACTGCTAAGCTGGGGAAGCCCAGGTGCCCAGGCCTGGCCTTGGGTGGCTTCCAGGCCTGGCTGCCATCAGTGGAAGGCCAGAGTCATACCAGGGCCTCGGCATGGTCCTTGAGGAGGGAGCTGGAGCTGAGGCTGGGGCCAAGGGCGGGCAGCACCAGGGCTGTCCACGTGCATGTGTGTGTGCACGTGTATACACAGTATATGCTTGTGTGTACCAGGAACACACGTGTAAGTATCTGTGTGTTGGGTTAAAGTTATGAAGGGGAATTCAAAATAATGCTTTACTTTCTAAACTTTCCACAATCCTATGTAACTTGTAATAGGAACCAATTTTTCCTACAAGTAATTCATGTCTATTGTAGAAAACTTGGAAAATGCAGAGAGGCATAAAGAATAAAACCAAAATTCCCAGGAATCCAACATTAACATGCAGAGGTATTTTTTTTCTCCTCTCAAAAATGTTCATGTATGTGTACAATTTTTTAAAAATAAAACCGGATCATAATAAACATCCTATGGTATAACACGATTTTTAACAGCTTAGAGTGAATCAACAACATGGAGAGGCCGCAGCCCACAGCACCACCCTGGGGCTGTGAAGACCCCTCCAGGCCACTCTCCCCGACCCCATCACACACACACACACACACACACACACACACACACACACACACAGTCACACTCCCACACACGTTCTCATACACACACCTACTCATACACACACACACACACAGTCACACTCCCACACACGTTCTCATACACACTCTCTCTCACACGTTCACACACACCTACTCATACACTCACATACACTCACACACTCACGCACACACACACACACAAACACATACACTGCCACACTCCCACACACGTTCTCATATACACACCTACTCATACACTCACACACTCAGACACACACACACACACACGCACAGACACATACACTGTCACACTCCCACACATGCACACTCACACACATTCTCATACACACACCTACTCATACGCTCACATACACTCACACACACACTCAGATACACACACACACACTGTCACACTCCCACACACGTTCTCATACACACTCTCTCTCACACATTCACACACACCTACTCATACACTCACACACTCAGACACACACACACACACACACACACACACACAATCATCCTGGCAGCTCCAAGGCAGGAGGAGTCAGTTGGTGCCAGGCCAGAGAGGAAAATCAGAGCCCCAGGAAAACCAGCTCCAGATGTGCCCGGGGCTCACATCTGGGCGTCCCCTTGGCTCAGGGACCTGGTGAGGCCTGCCAGGGTGGGTCTGGGGAAGGGGGACTGTGTCTCCGCTTTGGTCCAGAGCCCAGCCTCCTCTTGCCTACCCTCTGGGAGCTTGAGATGCATGCTCCGCAGAGCCAGCTGTGAATGCCAGGAGTCTCCTCACTACCCCCACCAGCTCCATTTAAAATGGTCTGTCCTCAGCCCCCACCAACACACCCTACCACCGGCGCCAGACTCCATTGGGTCTCAGGCTGGGGTGCCCCCAACAGAAGAGTCCCTGTTTCAGGCAGTCAGGAGGTGCTGGCCATACTTACAAAGAAGAGCAAATTGAAGAGGAAGAGAAAGTATTTGGTGATCTTGATACAGGCTGACCCCATCCTGCCGGCCCTGGAGTTTCCTGGGGAGAAGGGAAAAGGCAGGTAGGTCAGGGCAGGCGGGACAAGGCGGGGCAGGGGAGGAGACAACCAAAGCTGATGGGCACCCACCATCCGCCAGCCCCTACTCCTCCCAGCTCGCCCTTGCAACAACCCCAAGAGCTAGGTACCGACGTGAGGTTCCGTTTTACAGCACCCTGAGGCCCAGAGAGCTTAGATGACTGGCCCAAAGCCACACAGCTAGGAAGTCTTGGCTGCTTGATGCTTGGCCGTTAGGGTCAGCATCGGCCACTCTCCCAGGGCCACGCCTGGAGGGAACTTGTCCAGGAGAACCTCAGGGTCTGAAACTTGCCCGAATGGACGCTAGTAGAAGTCGGGAGGCCAGGGAGTTAGTGATGGCGGGACACCTAGAGGTGAGACCTCTGTTTTTTTCCCCACACATCTTCAGATCCCTTCCGGGTTTAGGGGGCTGGGGCTGTGGGAGCTGCTGGGGGAGGAGAGTTCAGCTCCTCAGAAAATGGACTCAGGGTGCCCTCCATGGCATTGTGGAACATCCAACAAATACGAAAAATACAAATTCAACAGAAATTTTTGTCTCACCCCATAGATAAAAATTGTCATCATTTTAGTAGCTATACTTCCAGTGGCCATGTGTATAACAAATTGTTTTAAACGAAAGTGGGCTCATACCATACAGAGTGATTTGTTGTCTGCTTTTTTCATTCTACAATATACCATCTCTTTATGTGGATAAAATGTTCTTCTACATAATTTTATACATTGCATGGATTTCCGTATTATTGATTAGTACTTATTAACAATTTTTGGGGGGGGAGGGGGTCACAGACTTTCCCAGAAAACTCATGAATAGGTAGCATTTCGCGAATAATTTCTGGGGTTCATAGACCCCATGAGGCCCATTCAGGAACCCCAGAAGACCTCAGGTTAAAGTCCCAGATAAAGATATACAATCAAAAATGAACATGTAAGTTGTTCCCAATTTTTCGCAGTCACCCTTGGTGACACAACTCATATTTCTATAACAACACAGACCATGTTTGAACTCGCTGTGTGTGTCCCTCTATACAGAAGGACCCCAGGCCAGGGCAGAACTCAGTGAAGAAGAGGGAAGCTAAAAGTGGCTTCCCTTGCACCCTCCCCAAGGCCAGACAACCCAAGAATGACAACAGCCTGGCCTCAGGCCCTGTGGGGTGAAGGAAACCAGCAACAGGCAGCTGGGGCCAGGATGGCTGGCCGGGAACAGCTGCATGGGCAGAGTCATGCTCGGGGGTGGGGAAGCAGGCACCAGACCCAGTCACATTCCCACTGCCCTGTGTAGGTGGAGGAGGATGAAGATCACAGAGCAGAGAGAACAGAGGCCCCGAGGGCCCAGGTGTGGGTTTCCCCCCTTCCTTGCGGGGTGAAAGGCAGTCCTAAGACATGGGAATCTCCCCTCTCCATACTTCTCTGGACATAAAAAACGTCACCTTTATACACCTACAGTGACGGGGAGAGGCAGGTTAAGGCAGAGAGCTCGCCACCTCCCAAAGGGTCCACTTCAGCTTTCTGACACCTCTGTTAGAGAAAGTTTTCTTTAGCTGCCTTTCTGTGGGTCAGATTTGGGCGCAACGTGCAGCAAAGCCATCCAAAGCAGAAAAAGGCCGCGTGGGTGGTAGTGAGCTCCCTGTCGCATGTGGCGTGGAAGCAAAGTCTGAATTCAGACTCCCTGGGGGTGGGGGTTTCAAGTGCTATACGGGGAGATTAGACCGAATGGCTCCTCCGGGCTCCTAGGGTGCAAGGCCTGGGTCTGAGAAATGCAGAGGCAGTGGTTACTCAGGAACCATGAAAGTATGGTCTCCGCCTCCTAGGGCCTCCCTCACCCCACTCAGAGGGGAGAAAATACCCCCCGCCCCACCCCCGTCAGCAGATCCGGAGATCTGAGAGTAACAGCTGCCCGGCTGGTCCGCATACAGAAGACCCGCTGCCTTCTCTTCCCTCCCAGCACAGAGCCTGTCAGACCACGGGCACTGGATAGACTCGTGGAACAAACAGCAAGAGCATAAGAGCCTCTCGTGAAGGGAGGCGTGCTTTTCTTTCCTACCAGGGACCCACTCGCCTGGCTGGATCTCCTCCCAGTGAATGACACGGGACACCCACCCCGAGGGGCTGACGTCAGCTTAGCCCAAGTGGCCTATAGATAAGTCATCGCTTCACCAGAAGAACTTCAGTAACGACATCCTAGCGGTCAAGCGGTCCAGAGACACGAGTGGCTGTGCCAGTTGGTTCTTACGAAACTGGAGAAGTGTGGAAACAGTGCTTTGGCAACTGCAGCAGACCTGCCGTGTTGCACAGTTCCAGAGAGTCCGGGAAGCGGCTCTGTACACGTTCCGGCTCCCGCATCCTCCGCTCAGGCCGGGTTTCCAGGGTGGCCTCGCAGGATGAGGCGCCTTTCAGACAAAAGCGAATACCAGGCCCACCGAGGAAGAGGGAGGGGTTGCCTGTGAACAACACCTATTCCGGGCAGCCGCTGGCATCAGTCATCCCCTTTAATCCTCACAAACTGCCTGGAAGATGAAGAGGGTATTCTCAGCCCAGGGAGGGATGGGGCAGACTCAGGGAGGTGCAGTAACTTGCCCAAGTCACATAGCTCTTTAAGCAGTGGTAGCTCCAGAGCCCAAGATCTTTCTACTGTGAAGGGCTCCCATCCAGGAGTGGCCGCAACTGTATAAAGGGATCTCTGGGGTTGGCCAGGATTTTGTTGTCCAAGCGAGGAGGGAGTGGAGACCCAGGTGACTGCTCAAAGGAGCTCTGGTTTGGTGGGCAAAGAGACAGAGGCTGCTGGGCTAGTATCTGAATAGTCCAGAGCCCAGGCAACCTTGCTGTTTTCTTGGTCACTTATGCAAATTGTACTAAACACTGGACAAAGCTCATTAGCTTCCTATGAGAAAACTGAGGCACAGAGGGGTGAAGGAGCATGCCCGAGGTCATTAGTACATAGACTGGCAAGGATAGAACCCAGGACGCCTGGCTCCTTAGGCCATTCCCTCCTCTCCAGGATGCAGCTGGGTAGGTTCAGTTGAGGGAACAGGAGCCGGGCCGTCCCATGATGGGCAGGCAGCTTGGCCAATCGGGACGGGCCCCAAGCCTACACAGGAATCACCTGAGGGAGGAGACGGTGCTGAGAATCAGAGCCTGGGGTGGACAGCTCCGGGGCATGTGGGCCAAGATCCAGGATACAAAATCTTTGTGCCCTGCAAAAGCAGACATTTCCCCCTCACAGCCACAGAGAGCAGGCGTTGAACAACCTTCTCTGCACTCAGCAGAAGATGGACAGTTCCACAAAGGGCTGGGGTCAGCTCAGGCTGGGAACATGCCTGCCTCATCCCAGGATGGGGTGTGGCACCAACTTTACGGAGCCCACCGCCACTACCAAGCCTCGAGGAGTCCCCACAGGTGGAATCAGTTACCTCCTAGCTCCGCCTGCCCATGCAAGGAGTCTGAGCTTCCGTCTCGCCCAGGATGACAGCAACAAGGGCTGCAGTAGGGCAGGGGGCGGCCAACGAGGCCTGCGGATCAAATTCCATCTGTCACCTACTTTTTTGTACGGCTTACAAGCTAAGGACAGATTTTACATTTTTAAATAGTTGGGAAAAATTAAAAGAATATTTCGTAACACGTGAAATTCAAATTTCGATGTCCACAAATAAAGTTGTGCTGGCACACAGCCACACCCACTGGTTTATGTCCTGTCCACAGCTGCTATGGCATTGCAACGGATGACCGGGGCCATTGCGACAGAGGCCGTTTGGCCCACAAAGCCCAAAACACTTACTGCCCGGCCCTTTATGGAAAAAGTTTGCCGGCCCCAGGTGTAAGGGATCAAACCCCTGACAAGCGTTCGAATCCTAGCGAGGTCAGTGCCTGGCATCGTCAGGGCTCAGTGAGCCAGAGCTGCAGTAAGTGTCTTTATCGGTACTTCTGGAAGAAGTGAGGGTGACTGTTTCATTGGCAGATGAAATCAGACAAAGAGAATGTCTTCCAGTGTTATGCTTCCTTGTGGTAAACACTGGAGGGTCTGCCCGCGATCGCCTGCGAGGATGTCTTGACAGCCGCAAAATAAGCCCATCTTATTTGGGAAATTCTGGAACAGTCACTAACAGCTGTGTGAGTACAAGCAGGAAGGTGCCGATTTTCTGTTATGCTTCATAGCAGGTAGATTGACCATTTCCAAGCAACTATAATTTAAATTGACCAAATATATAATTTTACGCCAAATCAGTCTGTATAGTGAGGTTACCATATTAATATTTTACTAACTCCTACTCTTCCTTCAATACTCACTCACCTCAGACATCTCCCTCATCCAGGAAACCACCTATGCCAGCCAGCCTTATGACCACTGCCACGGCCACCCCGTCTCTACCAACTCACATGTTAGTTAGGGGCACTCCCTCTCTGCTTCCTTCCAATGACAATGGATGCTGGGGCAGTTTCCAGGACAGGCTCTGGCACCAGACCTCCTGGGTTTGAATGCAGTTCTATCACCTCCTAGCTGTGTGACCTTGGATAAATGATTTAACCTCTCTGAGCCTCACCTCACTCATCTGTGAAAAGAGGAAAATAAAATCTGTTTGGCAGATTTACCCAGAGGTTAAATGAGAGAATATGGGTAAAGTGCCTGGCATAAGACAGGCTTTCAATAAATGGAGGCTACTATTACAGCTCATAATGCTGCACAGTAATTTTCTACTCCCCTATGGGTTGTGTGATACCTTGAGGGGAAAGTCTATGTATTATTTATGAGAACGAAGTCGGCTCCCAGAAAATGTTGCTGCCTGGAGGGTGGAGGGATAGAGAGAGAGAGGAGTAGAGGGAGGAATGGATGGACAGAGGAATGGACAGAGGAGGGGAGGGACTCCCACAGAGAACCCCAGGACTTTAGAATGCTCAGCCTCCCGAAGGGAGGCCGAGATCCACTGCCCGAGTCAGCGGAGACTCTATTCTCCGGCCTCTTCT